TTATGCGCGCGTTCTCAGAGACGCAAACTTTAATAAAGAAAATAGTCTTGGAACGGCTACGAACCGGAAGCGACCAGGAAGAATTTGAAATTTAGTAGACGCGTACTATTAACAGTGGCGGTGCATAAAGCATTTACGTCAGCACGATGTTATTCTCATTCTGAATGACGCGTACGTGTAAAACCTTTCAAATAGAATTGCAAGAGGCGCCCATACGCAACTAATTACGTCGTTTAGGCTAAAATAAGACGTCGAATACTGCATGGCTAGCTAAATGGCACTAGCATATGCATTAGCACTTTTTAACCGCGTGTTTTAAAGGGCGGGCGGTAGGCCTAAGTGAAGCCAAAAATAAACAGTCAGTCAAATTTGACGCGAATAGTCTAGTACTAACACGTCGGTCGATCACCGTATTGGATCAGAAGTAGATAATAGGGAATTCCTAGATCCTAGAATCCCTAATGGGGATTTTCTATTATCTACTTCTGATCGGATGTATTTCACCACAGGGAAATACGGTGCGGTTCTGACACGTTTCGTTTACTAGTTGTTCACTTTGCGCGAACAAAATATCAGGGCCGTAGCCTGCGGAGGGGGGGGGTGGAAGGGCAAGGGGAGCAGCTGCCCCCCTAGATTTTAAAGCAAAAAAGTTCTACTAAAAAAGAATTGTCGTAGTCAGAATGAAGGCTGTACATGTACTCAAAAGTGCCTCAAATACCATCTCCTGCGATCTACATTTTCAAAATTTTCGGGGGGAGGACCCCCAGACACCCCCACCGGTATCTCACCCCTCATTGAAATCATGGATCCGCCACTGCCCCTCTTAGGTATTTGCTCAGCCTACGGCCCTGAATATCATGGGGCAAACTTCACACAGGCAGTGTGTGGAAATAGTAACAACCACCGCATGCGCGCACGTACGCCACAGCAGTATAATATTAATATAATATAATATTTATATAATAATAATATATAATAATAATATATCAATCAAAGAATAAATAATATATAATCTAATATTAATAATAAAATAATGATGGCGTGGTGCAGTGCGTGCGATGGCGTTGGAGCGTGATAGTGCGTACGACGTGCGAGTGGTGCGATGACGTAGCAGTATGACGTGCGTGCGTGCGATATCGCGTAGCGATGATGTGACATGAACGTACGATGCGTGCACGTGCGTGCGAGTGCGTGTGTGTGTGGACGTAGTAGTGTGTAGGCGTGTGCACGTGATCATAGTGATGTGTGATAGAGATTGTAGTATATTCGGCAATAGGTATATTAACCAACATTACATATTAATGTTTTGACAAAAGATTTACTAGTGATAAACATACAATACTACTAACTAACTAAAGCTACTAATACTAAACTAACATACTAACTACTACTATGTACACTAACTACTTACTACTAACTATAAACATAAGCTACTACTACTACTACTACTACTACTACTACTACTACTACAGACTAAACTAACTGACTACTACTATTAATGATACGTACGTAACTCCTACTACTACTACTAGCTACTACTACTACTAGCTACTAACTACTACTACGTACTACCTAACTAGCTACTACTACTAATACTAGCTAATTCGCAATTACTGACTACTACTACTACTACTACTAACTACTACTACTAGCTGACTACTATTACTATACTACTACTACTACTATACTAGTACTGCACACTACTACTGAACTATACTACTAGCTACTACTACTACTACTCATACACCTACCGACATCGTTCCTCGTTAGGCTAAAACCGAGGATTAATTAATTTATAGGATATTCTCTACCTTGTTACTGCTGTTTCGCGTCTCTACGCGAATGTGGATCAACAACATTAATTTTCCTAAACTGAAATGGTAAGCCAGGCCAATCAGACGTGACAAGTCGAGTAAACCACGGCATCTGCCGGTCAGGCATATATACACTGGTCCTATTCAGCACAGCAGTACTTCGCATTCGATTATAGAACACGCATGTAGCTATGAGAGGGAGGAGGGACGTCTTAGGTAAACAGTATCCACGAATCACTCGCCACCTTCTCGCGATGGTGTGGCATGTATGTACGTCGTGTGTATATGGTGCGTGAGGAGTATTTGAGCTCCTGTCTATTTATTTTAGGCAGCTTGCCGCACGACGCGAAGACATAAATAAATACAACATCGCGTGCGTGTCGCACGTTATAGGCCTATCGGTTTACTTACTCCACTCACTGCGGGCTAGGCACACAGATCGATGGTCATATATTCGCTACAGAGAGGTTACTACATGGTGTCATAGAAGTTACTGTGGGCGTGCCATAGTTGCTACAGAAGTTACCACATGATACCATAAAAGTTACTGTGGATTGAACATAGTTGTTATAGACGTCGACTACATAATACCATAGAAGTCTGTATGTACTACAAGTACTACAGATGTTACTACATAGTGCTATAGGAGTTAGTCAGGATGTGCTATAGTTGATACAGAAATTACAAGATAATACTATAGAAGCCTGTTTGAATGTACCATAGTTAATATATAAGATTATTACATGATATATATAAAAGTTAATCTGGATCTGTTATAGCTACTACAAAAGTTACAACGTAGTACAATAATTTCTATTATCTCTGAAATTTCACCAATAGAATACGTGCACTGAATGTACTACTAAGAGGGCGGGGAGGAGGAGAGAGCGGAGTGAGAGCGGCGAATAAGCGCCTCATATGTGCGCTCCGACGAGCCATTCCTGCTGGTAAGTTCTTTTAGCACTTCATGATAGACCCGGCATCATGTCAAAAGTTTGTGTGTGTGTGTGTTGTGTGGTGTGTGTGTGTGTGTGTGTGTGTGGTGTGTGTGTGTGCGCGAGCGCGGCGTGTGTGTTTGTGTGTGGTGTGTGTGTGCGGCGTGCGTGCGTGCCGTGCGTAACGCGTGCGTGCCGTGCGTAGCGTGCGTGTAGTGTGTGTGGTGTGGTGTGTGCGTGCGGTGCGTGCGTGCGTGCGTGCGTGCGTGTGTGTGTGTGAGTGTGTGGTGTGTGTTGTGTGTGTTGTGTTGTGTGTGTGTGTGCTGTGTGTGTGGTGTGTGCGTTGCGTGCTTGCGTGCGTGCGGCGTGCGTGCGTGCCGTGTGTGTGTGGTGTGTGGGTGTGTGTCGCTGTGTGTGTCGTGTGTGTGTGTGGTGCATGTGTGTGAGACGAGAGAGAGATGTGTGTGTGTGTGTGACGTGTGTGTGGTGGTGGTGTGTGTGTGTGTCGTGTGATGTGTGGTGTGGGGTGGTGTGTTAGTGTGTGTGTGTGTTGTGGTGGTGTGTGATGGTGTGTGTGTGTGTGTGTGTGTGTGTGTGTGTGTGTGTGTGTGTGTGTGTGTGTGTGTGGTGTGTGGTGTGTGTGTGTGTGTGTGTGTGTGTGTTGTGTGTGTGGTTGTGTGTGTAGTTGTGTTGGGTGTGTGTGTGTGTGTGTGTGTGTGTGTGTGTGTGCTCTGGGAATCTGATCGCACGCCTGGCCAGCGCAGCCTTCGCGATTAGCATCAAAAGTTAGCATCTAGAATCTAGATGATCGCGTTTCTTCAATTTGCGAATTCTTCTCGTCTCTTTCTCCTTTCTTTCTTGTTTTTTTTCTCGTTTCTTTCTCGTTTCTTCCTCGTTTCTTTCTCAAAACTGTCTCGTTTCTCCAAACTACTCACAGTCGTGAGATGATGAAGCGCATTATTGCGTGAGGGAGGGTGACGATCCTTGCCATAGAATGAGAGACGGAGTGTGAAGACATGTATTTGTATTTGAATTACATGCAATAAAGATTTTATAATAATAATAATAATAATAATAATAATAATAATAATAGTAATAATAAGGTGATACGCCGCCATGCATTCGTGCGGTTGTCCGTGAACAGCGGCGGCGCTGCAGTCTCCGATGCATCCATAATTGATCGAGATTCCCCATCGATGGCAAACTTACTGCAGTGCAGACGGAATGTTAATAAATAGATGCAAATCGACTATATCGCTCTGGAATTACTGTATTAGCAACGAATTTGTGTCCCTGCAGGAAATTTGCATTACTGAATCTGCCAGTAGGCTAATGACAAATCAAAAACAGAGAGCGGCAGCGCTGGGCACTTCCCGTATCGACTTATAACTCTGTTACACTTTCTCTGTAAACCTTCGCTACTCGCCTTTTTCCAGTTAGTCAAATCGTATTTCACGCATGGTCGGCGCCTGGTAAAGCATATATAGCAGGTGCAATACTGTAATGAAGCTAAAGTCATTACGATATAGAGCGACGCACTACTACAACGATGAATTTGTGTTACATATATAGCAGCATGCTGACGCGCAACGTTATAGGTAGCTAGCCCTACCTTCGTAATTAACTACCACAACTGCAAATTAATACAATGCTAAAACAAAAGTTCTGCACGGTCTACATCTGACAAGTTGAATGACAGCCATTAGTCAGTAAAATTCATCTTCTAAAAGTGTTCTTCACGTTAAGTGACGACACAATGAACTAAAACCCGTTGTCAATGAGCAATATAGGATCCGTTTCTTTACCCGTCGTGTGCTACTACAGGCAGCAGTTCCTAAGTAACAGTAGGTATAATTGATGCAGTAAGTACAGGTGACAGTAAGAATGTAACGTGTGGCTGTAGCTGCGTGTAAAAGACGTTCTTTTGGGGAAAGGTACGACTCGATAAATCGACTGCAAATATCTTCACGGCGATTATTCATTATAATATCTATAACATATATTATAAAAAAAATTAATAAAATAAATTTAATAAGTATGCAAATTTAATAAGTATGCAATAAAAATTTAATAAATATAATAACGAATAATTCTCATAACCAATAAATTGTTGAATTCGTAATTAAATCTTTATTTTAAACGTATTCCCAATTTCGCTTCATACGTCTTCAACGTCTACACAATAATGCATGTAAATTCACCGTATAGCGTAATATATAAATGATATATAAAATGTAAATTCTCCTTTCAGATGGATTCGATCGTGATGGAACAGACGACCGAACAAAGTTTCTTCACGCGAGCTCACGACGCAGACGACGGTTCTCTATCTCTTAACAGCTCTCTCATCAGACACAGCTTGCCGAAGGAGCAGGTTCGCTTCTGGGTGTACAAGGTCGGCTACACTAGCGTCATCACTGCCGGCCTGCTCGGTAACTCTCTCAACCTGGCCGTCATGTGGCGCAGCAGTCGCTTGGCGACGCTCTCCTACTTCTTCCTGCGATGGCTCGCCGTCGCCGACTTCTTCGTCGTCGCCGTCATCCTCGTCTTCAATCTCGTCAAGACGAAGGCCGTGCATCGGTCGTACGCCGTCATGTGGTACTACGCGCATCTCAACTTCTTCCTGATGCGCTCGCTCGCCTGCAGCGGCGCCTTCATCGTCACCGCCTTCACGGTGAGTCGCTACGTCAGCATCTGTCATCCGACGCGCTGCAAGAGCGTCGGCGTCGTCACGTCGCGTGGGGTCTACCGGGCGACGACGGCGTCGGCGTTCGTCTTCTCGGCGCTGCTGCACGTGCCGCACCTGTTCGAGACGAGAGTCGTCGCCGTCGTCGGCGACGACGTCGGGCGTCGTAACGATTCAACGATCGTCGAGTACGACTGGGAGTGGAACGACGCCGTGCAGCGACTCGCCTTCTTCTCGCACGTGTACCCGCCCGTGAAGGAAGTGCTTAGCAAGCTCCTCCCCATCGTTCTCGTGCTTGTATTCAACCTGCTCATCATACAGGCGCACGGGCGCTACGTGCGCAAGCGACGGTCGCTTCGCACCGGAAGTTACTCCGAGGTGGTGCCGACGACGACGAAAGCGACGAAAGCGACGACGGCGGCGAGGAGGAGGAGGGCGAGGGAGGAAGGAAGGTTGATGGCGCTTCTGTTGTCTGCGTCCGGCATCTTTTTCGTCTGCACGCTTCCGCAGGCGTTTGTCACCGTGCTACTGCGTGCCTGCCCGAGCCTCTACGAGACGTCGGTCGCCTTCTTCGTCTTCGTGCACGTCGCCAATCTCGTCGAGTCGCTGCACTTTGCGATCAACTTTTACGTGTACAGTCTCGCGAGCGCCGACTTTCGGCAGAGCTTCCGCGAGGTGTTCGCGCCGCCGTGCTGGGCGGATAAGTGGGGGAAGCAGGGCGACGGGCCGCAGAGTGGCGCCTCGTTCGCCGCGTCGGCTCGTCAAACTTCGACGAGAAAGATTCCCGCTGCGTGATCTGCGAGAGGCATACACGCATAAGGGGTGTATGTGCGAGCGTGTGTGCTGTGCGCCCGCGAAGGACACAGCGGGTAGTAGTAATAGCAGTACGAGCGTGTGCGCTGTGTGCATGCATTTGCTCTGTGTATGCGTGTGTGCGCTGTGTGCATGCATTTGCTCTGTGTATGCGCGTGTGCGCTGTGTTCATGCATTTGCTCTATGTACGAGCTTGTACAGACGAACGATGGGTGGGTGGTTCTTCATGTGTGCGGAGAAGACACAGCGGGGGAGGGACCGTGAAGTTTAAACGTGTGCGGCAGATATTTTGTGACTGCTGTGCATTATTGAGAGACTGCCAAGAGAAGACTGCATTTAGAAAATGTGACAACGTATTCCGTGAGCGACCGCGTCGTATACAGTCGTATATGCTTCGTACCTCGTATAGTACAATATATAATATATTATAATATATATAAAAAATATAGACATATATACTGTAAGTACAATATCAGTGATATATAGCTGCTACGTGTCTACTACACGCGCACAGACACGCGCACGCTTACCACACAAAAATACGCACACGCACAGACAAAGGCACGAGAACACATACATGCATGCACAGATAATATAAGACTCACGCACACGCACACGCACACGCGCACCACGCAGGAACACGCACAGGCAAAGACAAAGACACGGGCAAACGCACACGCTAGTGCCACACAGAACACACACACGCGCACACGCACACGCACACGTACACACTATTAGTCACACATCAGACTTCAGATGCGCTAATGTTCTTTAGATGTTGGCGCCCACATCTTGCCTCAGCTGTGATATTGTCACTTTAAATAACGTATCCTACATCAGCTGTGTACCAGTATCCCTAAATATAGATGCCACTGTCATCAGTTCATCATGCAGTCATCAGTTCCGCTAATATCCCTTGAGAGGTCACGCCAACTATACATTAGCATGCAATAACTAGAATGATTACACGACCGTATTAAAATAAACCTATTCCACATCCCCTCAATATCACATCGTTACGGTGTGCCAACAACGCAGACGCGCTGATTGGTGTAGAGACCGCGTGGCGTCATCACCCGCCCGCGAGTTATTCGCTGCTTCACGTCATTGTCGTCGTCATTGCCCAGGGTGCGATGATTGGTCAGTGTCATGTCAAGGCTGCATACGTCACGGGATGTAAACTTTTGCGAAGTCGTGTCTTGGTGCGAGTGCTCTAGCCGGACGAACCGTCTCATGTGACGATTTACTGCCGGAAATTTTAACCTCTTCATTGCATTAATGTTTAAACCACGAGAACGTGTTCGTAAACGAATTGGGAATGAATTCGAGTGCGTGTGTATATATATATATATATATATATATATATATATATATATATATATATATAGGCTATAATTTATTTAAAACTCGGGTGACGACAAATTCAGGTCTTGTTCCGTTTTAACGGAAGCGAATAATATTATTGTCGCGTGTTGCTTATAATGTTATCCCGCCATTACCATGGCGTCCAACCGCGACATGTGAAACTGTGCAAACTATATCGAATTATCACTGACAGACGTATCACGTTAGTTATGTCTCCTGTTAAAAATAAGAGATATTTTTGTTATAACGCCAACACAATAATCAGCAAAATATAATTCAACCACGAAATTTTCCTAGAAAACATCATTTGAACTAGTTTACGTCTATCAAATCCATATCTGTAATGTCTGCATTCTGTGAAAGGAGAACGGAAATTATGCAAATGCGGATCCGTATATAGTCGGTGCCAAGCTCCTTTATTCATCACATGACCGATCTCTCAGAAAACTTATCATCTATCTTTGCGCAATGTCCTCACGAGTGTGTCACTCATCTGTGATTAAATCAGGTATGCGGTTCTATCTCGTGCGCGCCAGAATAAGACATTTCTATAGAAATAGTCGTTTCTAGAATCGAGTGACAATCCACCATCGGGTATCTGGGTCATGCGGACGTGCCATGCCACGTCCTGTTGCCAATAAGAAAGATTACTTGACTCTTCGCGTATTACTTACTGTCAGCAGCTTGTGATATTAGGACCTTTCTAGTAGCTATTCATCTGCGACTAACAAAAACCTCGGGGTAATTATTCTTACATTTGATCGGATTTTGCCGCAACCTGCGCCGACAGAGAGAACATAAACGAAGTATTATATCAATACGTAGTATCGTGTGTTTATGTTGTATCGGGACTGCTATATTGAGTTAAGTTGGGTTGATTGTGCTTTGATTTGACATGAAATCAAACATGCTTTGAGTCAAATTGTTGCTAAAAATTAATTACGTAATCAAAAGGTTTGACTTTGTGACACAATTGTCACATTTCTGTAATCACAAATATTAAGTTGCTGGTTGCTTAATTATGAAATGGAGAACAAAAGGTTTCGTTTTTATCCAAAAGGCATTGAGTTTTATGGCACCCTACGATTTTTAGAGGTGCACAGAGAATCGAGACACGCCACCGAACTCCGCGCAAATCTCCGCACCGCCTTCAAATTAAGCTCCAACCCTCTTTAATCTAAATGGAGACGCTCAACACCACCGCACCGATCGACGTCGCCATGACGACGACAGCGCCACCTAGCGACGTGCTCCCCTGGCAGGCGGTGACGCTGTGGATCTACACGGTCGCCATGTTTGCGGCGTTCGTCGTCGGCGTGCCGGCGAACAGCGCCAACATCGCCGTGCTGTGGCTGAGCCGACGCATGCGCCAGCCGTCGTTCACCTACATCCGCTGGATGGCCGTCGTGGATCTGCTCGTCAACGTCATCGCGTTTACGGGTTACGGTCTAGTGCGCTCGCGGCTCGTGGGTCAGAGCTACGCGGCGCTCTGGTACTACTCGCACCTGTTCTTCTTCACCTTCCGCCTGTTCGTCTGCGCGAGCAACTTCATCCTGCTCGCGCTCACCGTCGACCGCTACCTGCGCGTCTGCCATCCGCTGCGATTCGCGCGCCCCCTATCGGCGCGCGCCACCAGCGCCACGCTGGTCGCCATCTTTGCGTCTTGCTTCGTGCTGTCGCTGCCGCACGCCTACGAGACGACGGTGACGCCGTACGTCGACGCGGCGACCAACGAGACGCTGTACACGTGGAGCTGGAACGAGGAGGTGCGAGACGAAGTGTTCTATCCGCATGTCTATCCGATATTCAAGGAGATCGTCACCAGGTTCGTGCCGATCGCCGTCGTCGTCGTGCTCAACGTTCTCATCATCAGGTAATGAACTGACGTAAGAACTGACGTGAGAACTGACGTGAGAACTGACGCAAGAACTGACGTAACAGCTGATGTAAGAACTGATGTAAGAACTGACGCAAGAACTGACGTAAGAGCTGACGTAAGAACTGACGCAAGAACTGACGTGAGAACTGACGTAAGATCTGACGCAAGCCCTGACGTGAGACCTGACGTAAGAACTGACGTAAGAACTAACGTAAGAACTGACGTAACAGCTGACGCAAGAACTGACGTAACAGCTGACGTAAGAACTGACGTGAGAACTGACGCAACAACTGACGTAAGAGCTGACGTAAGAGCTGACGTAAGAACTGACGTAAGAACTGACGTAAGAACTGACGTAAGAACTGACGTAAGAACTGACGTAAGAACTGACGTGAGAACTGACGTAACAGCTGATGTAAGAACTGACGTGAGAACTGACGTAAGATCTGACGCAAGCACTGACGTGAGAACTGACGTAACAGTGAGAACTGACGTAACAGCTGATGTAAGAACTGACGTGAGAACTGACGTAAGATCTGACGCAAGCACTGACGTGAGAACTGACGTAACAGCTGACGTAAGAACTGGCGTAAGAACTGACGCAAGAACATCGTATGGCGCCTGTATGTCGCTAAACGCTATATTAAAATGAGTGATGGCGCTTTATTTCGATATATTTGCGAGATTATTCTGAAGCCACAAATGCTCTCCCTAACCCTAACACCATAATCATAATGCTAATCTTTATTCTAATCGCTACCTTATCCTTCAGACCAACTCTCACCATAACTCTCACGGTGTAAGAACTGCAAGCGGCGTATGTATTTTGGTTAACGTGCACACTCGTTATACTAAATTAAGGACGCTTTATTTCGTTATTAAACCCCTAACTTTCTCTCTTACTCCCTTACGCTAACACAATAATCATAATCCTAACTCTTCCCCTAATCGTAATGTTATACTTTACGCTAGCCCTTTTTCATACACCACCCTTACCATAACTGCAATCCTAACTTAATCCTAACCCTAAGCGTATCCGTAATCTAACCCCAACCAATGTTATAATTATTTAGTGTAGGAGGTGTGCCGTGAGTGTCATACGCTATCTAAGACGGTTATGCTATTCGCACAAGAACGCCAAAACTATCTTCTTCATAAATGTTACAAACATTCGCGTTAAGCTTCCACTATTGGCGTGTATATGATGTAATCTTGATTCATCGTTGGAACTTCATTGCTGTCATTGCATCAGTTAACTGTCAGTGAATTTTTGGAATACTTGCTGAATGTTTGTGTGAGAACAAATAGAAGCAATCTAAACCTACTAAAGCTATTAAGAAAAGTACTTTGAAAGGAAACTGGACTCATACCAAAACGTCATGCGTTATAAATTATAGATGGCGTGTACAAACAAACCAATTGCTTCCCCGTTTTTGGCATGAGTAATAGATTCTCGGCATTTCCGCATGCACACACTGCGAATACCACAGCGTGAGTTCCTTCATGCGCCCACTATTGACTACACCGTGCGCGGAAGAAGCAATTTAGAAAACATACTCGAGATATATTTCTAATATAAATCCGTATATGTCCGCATTTAATCTCACTTGAAATTTGACGTTTAGAACTCGTACATGTAAGAAGATATCCTGCTGGATGACATCTTATTTGAAGTCTTATTTAGATTCTAGCGATGCCCACTATAGTGTCGACAATGTGTACGAGAAGCAATACAGAATATACTTGAGAAATATTTCTAATGTGAATCCGTATATAAACCGTAACCTCACTTGACATTTGACGTTGAGAACGCGTGCGAAGATTCTCGTAAGAAGATTCCCAACCCGATGACGTTCCAATAAGCGTCTATTCACTCTATAGCGAAATCCTCGCGAACACCGCCACACGATTTTAACCGCATTGAAAAAACAACACATCGCAATATTTTGATTCAGGTCTCACAGGGCGTTTCTAAAGAAGCGCGAAGGACTGTCACCGCGCACGCGCGCAGAAAAGAAGACGATGAGAGAGCAGACGCGCCTGCTGGTACTGCTCGCGTCCGCCTCGGCCGTGTTTCTCGTCTGCACGCTACCGCAGGCGTTCGTCACGATCCTGCTGCGCGCCGACAGCGCCATCTATGGGCGCCGACGCTTCTACGTATTCGTACACGTCGCCAATCTGATCGAGGTGCTCAACTTCATCGCCAACCTGTTCGTGTACAGCATCGCCAGCTCCGACTTCCGCAAGAGCTTCCGGGAAGTGTTCCGCTGCTGCTTCCGGTTGCGGCGATCGGGTTCCTCTACGTCCACGCAGTATTCGGGGGATACGTTGGGAAGAAAGGAGGATTCGACGAGCAAGTCCAGCGTAGAGGCGAAGAGAAAGATGAGCACCGATTCGGCGTTGTAGTATATATAGGGGGTTCGAGGATGATTTTATTATTGAAATAGTTTGTTAGTTGTTCGAACATTCGTTTGTTCGTTCGTTTGTTGAATCGAGTGTTCGTCCGACTGCCCAATCTCTTCTTTTGTGCTCTTTCGCGCACTCGTTCATTCGTTCGTTCGGTCGGTTGGTCGGTTTGTCGGTCGTTTGTTGTATCGTTCGTTCTTTCGTTCGTTCATTCGTTCGTTTGTTAAATCTATCGTTCATTCATTTAAGCGTTCGTTCGATCAGTATCACAGATGATTCCTTACATGATTGAATATATGTGTAAATATGTAAGGTATGTAAAAATCCCAAATCAAGTGGTAATCCTGGCGAATACATATAGCTATATTTTAATGTTAATAAAATGTAAGATATTCCAATTAAAAACCATTTATTTTGACGGTATCTATGTTATCTATGTTATCTATGTATCTATGTATCTATGCACTTATATGTGTTTAAATGAGAAAGCTGTTGCCTCCGTTTAAAAAGCAATAATATTTTTTGCAAAATCTTTCATTCAAAATAGAGAGCATGCAGACATCCTAGATAAGTTCAGAGCAAAAATCTTTCATGCAAACGCTTGACGTTACTATTGCTAAGGCGCCCTAGTATCACCACATCACAATTTTTTACAAAGTCGGATAAAATTGATGACATTTCTGAGCCGTTAGTCGGCGCTAGTGTCGTGAATGGACAGTATAGTCGCAGCACGTGTATCATATACGTATAGGCCCTACATATCATACGTATCATATAATACGTGCTCTGGTATAGTGTACGATGCCCAACTATATATATACATATACATTTCAACTAATTGTTTAAAATAGATAGGGCAGACTAGAGAGAGAGACGAGTAGTTTTCGATGAAAATGCTAAAGCGACCTAGCTTCTCGACTTTCGTATTTTCCCCGCAAAACAGAATGAAATCATGGTGTTTACACTTTTACGACCTTGGGCGGCGCTAGTGTCGCGCTTGGATAGAAGTCACTGATGACAAAAAATGTATATACATATGAATAAATAAACACACACACCGCACGCACGCACGCACGCATGCACGCACGCACGCACATGCACACACACACACACACGCGCGCGCGCAGGCGACAGATATCCACATCCAAGTGTGGCTTTAAGCAGCATTCGGTAAGTTATTAGTAGCACGTTATAGTGTTGCCGGCGTTATATTTGTATGACGGGGGCCTAAGGCCAGCTATATAATATTGTAATAATAGAATAGTGTATGATGGGGCCCAAGGCCACATATATAGTATTTGTATGACGAAGGCCTAAGACCACCTATATAGAATTGTAATAATAGTGTATGATGGGGGCCCAAGGCCACATATATAGTATTTGTATGACGAAGGCCTAAGACCACCTATATAGAATTGTAATAATTCTTTTTGCAAATATAAGGGCTAACCGTTTTCGCTGCTTGCCTCGGGAGATATTGCGCATAGCCCCGCGCACGCACGTGTTAGGCGTGCAGTTCCGTCTGACGAAAAATTTCATAATATGTTAGGCTTGCTGAGGGAGGACGACGGAATGGGAGAGCTGAGGAAAGGCAGCAGGAAAGATAGCTGAGGCAGTAGAAGAAGAGGGAGCTGAGCGAAGGACAGGGAGGCAAGGTGAAAAGGACCGCGAAGGCATAAAGTAGGATTTTGTACCTTACATGCTGAGGCGCTCTGCCTATTATAACAGGCAGGTGTACTGATAAAACTTTATTAGATGAAATCTATGCTGAGATATCCCTAACCATTTTAAATGTCTATTCATCACAATAATATGAACATCCTCTGGTGGATGATTGCACATGCGCTAACACTACTAACGTGGGCTTAGATTGTGTACTACTGGTATACGCAGCGGGACCTTACATGTAAGGTGCTTCTCTATTTCTAAATGATTGTCAAGCTGATGGAAAAATTTCTCCATAGAAATCTCTGCTAGGAATAACTTCTCTCATTTAAAATGCATATTCTTTTGCAAATACGGTTTCTTACGGGATATTTGCTGCATGAGGCGCGCGCACGCGTGTTTAGGGCGTGCAGTGGCGCGTTGACACAACTTCATAAATATTAGTGTGCTGCGGGAGAAAGGGGATGGCGACTGAGGAAGGCGGCAGGAAGATAGCTGGGGCGGTAAAAGAAGAAGGAGGAGGTTTTTTTTTGAGCCGAAGAGACAAGGGGAGGCAAGGGGAAGGTAGGCGAGGGCATAAAGTAGGTGTTTTGTAGCCGCTACATGCTAGGCGTTCTGGGCTATGTATATAACAGAGGTGCAAACTGATAAACGTTTATTGAGAATCTATGGCTGCGAGATAACTATTACAAACCATTTTAAATGTATATTGCATACAAAATATAACTCCTCTGGTGAGATATTGCACAATGCGTTAACAGACTAACGTAAGCCAAAATGTGTCACTGGCTAGTATACCAGCGGGGACCTTACAGGTACGGTCTTCTCCTATTTCTGAAATGATGTCTACTGATGAAGCTGTTATCATATAAGATTCTATGCCACTATGCATAACTGCTCTTCATTTTAATATGGCCATAATCTTTGAAAAATCGCGATTTCTCTCGGAGATATTGCGCATGTGCGCGCGGCACCGTTAATGGGGGTTAATGGGCTCTTGATACTATCTATCCTAACTATATTTAATATAACTATTATTATAATATTATATTTAATTAAATTAAAATTATTATTTATTTAAGTTAATATTTATATTATTTTTATTATTTATATTTATTATAATTTTATTGTAATAACAGATTATTATAGATTATAATCTATTATTATTCACTCCTGATACTATCATGTCACACACACTATAACGGACCTACGTTTGCATTAGTTGTCTTGTTACGTCACCTATAGTAATTAACCGCATCCAGCTATCAGACCTATCATGCTCGCATGAACGCGCATTTTGCTCCCGCGCACGAGAGCAATAACGCCGTAGTTAATCTCACATTCAATACCAGCTAAATCCCAACGCAAAGCCACGGAGGCGGCGAGAGTGAGAGAGAGAGAGAGAGAGAGGGCGAGAGACAGAGAAAGAAAGATAGGCTAGATAGAAGAGAGAGAGGGAGAGAGAGAGCAGAGAGAGAAAGAGAGAGAGAGAGAGAGAGGAGAGAGAGGAGCGAGGGAGAGAGGGAGAGGGGAAGAGAGAGAAGGCGAGAGAGAGAGAGAGAGAAGAGAGAGAGAGAGAGAGAGAGAGAGAGGATAGACAGAGAGAGAGAGAGAGAAGAGAGAGAGAGAGAGAGAGAGAGAGAAAGAGAGGGAGAGAGAGAGAAGAGAGCAGACATGCGAGCGTGTGACGGAACGCATACTATAACGCATACATGTGATGTGATTAGGATATGATTGTAATCGTGTTGGCAGTGAGGCGTTATGTTTTGAATGGTAAGGACCTAGCAGCTGCCTGAGCGGCGCAAGCTATATATTAATATAGCATATATATATATATATGATATATATATATAATATATATACGCGACATTTACGAATCTATGGCTGGCATAATTAGGCCACGCAGACGTATTCGCGGTAGGTGTAATTAACTATCGGCATAATGGCAATGCGGCCGTATGGATAGTATATTACGAACTCATCATCGTCGTTTGCAGATTGAAGGCCCACTACTCATTTTAGTATTCTCTTTAAAGTTATTCGTCTTGAACCGACATGAATGTATCAGAGAGAGAGGAAGAGAGAGAGAGAGAGAGAGAGAAGAGAGAGAGAGAGAGAGAGAGAGAGAGAAAGATAGACGAGTGTGTGTGTGTGTGTGTGTGTGTGTGGTGTGTGTGTGTGTGTGTGTGTGTGTGTGTCGGTAACACACGCGCTTTCAGGCGCGATAGCACCGAGCGAGCGCGCCCATCGATCGCTAACTACTATTACTCTCTGGCTGTTTGCATTCATGTTGGCTGTTAGCCACCTATTAATTCTGCTCGCGTTATGGATTTTCGGGCACTATACCGCAGTGACGCCTAAACCATGCAGCGGGTGGGCATACAGACAGACAGACGGCACACGCACGCACGCAACGCCAACTTTTCCACAGCGCGAACGCACGCGCGCGACTGCCTCACATGCCTCACGACATATAACACAGCTGCACGCACGCACATCACACAACGCAAACACGCACGACACACTCAACACACACCGGGCGCACAATACATACGTAAGCAGGCAAAGCACGGTGAGCCACAGTCGCGCCGCGCGCAACAGATACCACCGACAGTCCTGGCTCACAGCACACACACACACACACACACACACAGCACACACAACACAGGCGCCCGCAGCACACACAGCATAGCACGACAAAAGCCCACAGACCGCCACACGCACACAACGATATTGAAGTGAATGAACATCATGCGCGCTAAGCTTCTGCGTAGTAATTGCGTCTTGTGAATTGATGCAGCGGATGATGCAGCGCCCTGCCTAGCGGTGCCTAGCCGTACAGCTCTTCATTTCGCGGCACACCGTACGCCGGCTAGACTACGCGAGTTTGATTGGGCGAAGCCGCTCATCCAACCGACACTGAACATCCTCGGAGGCCCATCAGCAACGAAACGAGTAATGTGTTTTGACGACAGGCGAGTGTACACATGCACGCACGGCACGCAAAAAAGGCACATGCCACCCCACGCACGCGACAACGGACACGCACACAGTCAGTCGACGCACACGCACACGCACAACGCACAACGCACACGACAACACACACACGACACACACACACACACAGCACACACACACAGGCACACATCACACACAGACACAGAGCTACACACATCAGCACACACAACACACCACACAGGCAGCACAAACACACACACCACCCACACACACTGCACACTCACACACACAACACAGCACACACACACACACAACACACAACACACACACACAACACACATCACACACCACACGCACACACCCACACACACACAGCCACACACCACCAACACCACACACACACAGTAGCTACCGCTTCACCGCGCTACTAGCAGACGAGACTAATGCCAACAAGAACAATGACGGACACATGTAGTTTCCTAACATAACGCGTCCTCCTATGCTGCTAGTAGAGGAGACGTGCAGGCAACGAAGACGTACGCGTGCCTCGCCGAGAGCGTTTTTCTGCCCCACTGCGCCTTCTCTCATCTCTGCATCCCTTGACCCGATCATCACGCGTCCACGGAGGCGTATCCTCTAATCAGCCCGCGCGAAGGGATTACATAAATATTATGTGTCCGTCTGCGGTAGAGGAGAGGGAGGAAAGCGGGAGGAGGATGCGGGGAAGGGAGGAGGGATAGGCAGGAGGGGAAAGAGGGGAGTGCGGTATGAAAAGGGGGA